CCAATTATACATTTACAAGTCATTGCTTAAAAAGTTATTGCAGCTGCATTAATTGATGATTGAATGTTCGTAATGAGAGTGTAGGATGAGAAATATGGCTACAGCGTGATTGCGGACAAAATTTCAGCCCTCACCCACACTGTCGGTCTTCTAATTGTTTTGATTTTTGTCCGCAATTAAGAAGACACGGAGAAATATATAGGAAAAGAACAAATTATTTCGAATCCATCGTATACAGACGAATTATTTGGCATCGCTTGTTTAAGTTATTTATGAGAAATCTGATTTAGGAGAAACTTTAATGACAATTCTATATTCATGCACTCTTCTGTACAAAATTGTTGATGAATGATCAAATTAAGTTTTAATTTAAAAGAAAAAATAAGTTATTTTTGTTTTTATTTGATTGTTGCGATGGACGTGAAAATGCACAATAGTTTATTGAATCATCTAATGATATTGCTAAAGTTATATATATTTATTTTTTTAGTGTGATATATTACTATTTGTGTCGCATTCGATCGACAAAGTAATTTGTGATTGAAGAAAAATTGTCTGAGTTTTCGTATTCAATTAGTAAATAATATGAAGACATATGCGTTCGGATATAAGAAGCTGCTCATAGTGTATTAAACGATGTTTCTGCTTATACTGATGCTAAAATTATTTCAGCAAAGTTCAATGATGATACACATTGATCGGTTACGGCAACTACTTTACGACATTTTTGGTTTCTCATGGAATTTTGTTCAATAAAACGATAAAGCATTGATATTTCTTGAAAATGGTGTGTCATTGACTGTGGCACTCGGATCAAAGGACCAAACTTTTACAACTATTTTCGAAATTTTAATAGACTCGTTATAGTGAAAAAGTGTATCAATGTTTGTTTTGCCGAGTGAAGAATAAGATAAAGCTGAAAATTGTTGAGTTGTTCTTTGAATAAGTTTTGCTCATTTATTTAGGCTATAATATTTGGAACCAATCTGAGACTATTACTCGTCTTCATCTAAAATACAAGTCGAAAAATAACATCTGTTGTCAATTGCTCTGGACCTTTCGTCCTAAAGTAAACTACTCGTTGCTGAGTTGCTCTCAAATACATTGCCGAAAAACAATAACCTCGATGCACAAGTCGCTCGATCCATTGCCACTAGATTAAACTGGCTCGATTCTTAAAAGAAATAGTGAATTAATGCATTGTTAATTGTTGACAAATAGTTGATAAAAGATAAAATTATATCGAGTAACCACACAGAAATCGGCATTCTTTTTATTAAGAGAATATAAAAAAAGAAGCTTTCGACGTTCACAAGACACCATCACCAGTACTTAACATCGAAGCTACATGTAATTATTATTTTATTTTCGTTTTCTTTTTCGTTGTGAACATGACGGAAAGATAAATCAGATCATAAGCACTGATAGTGTCTTGCTGACGTCTAAAGCTTTGCTTCTTTGTATTGTCTTAATATAAAGGATGCCTGTTGTTATTAATTTACTTAAGAAATAGTAAGCAAAAAAGATCTAAGCTTAATAAAATAAAGATACAAAAGAATAGACTGAGACCTTGTCTTCAACTTTTGATGATGAAAATACGTTACGGATAAAGCAGTACTGACCTTTTTGGCAGTATTGCTGAAGTGATGAGTCGTTTTAACTTTTCACAATTCCTGTAACAGTCAATTTTATGTATCATTGATTTGATTAAAATTACTTTTGCTTTTTAATCAGAAAATGAACCATTCCGATTTTCTCTCTCAAAAATAAGATGATGCAACACGTTTTCAGTGTTAGTGATGTATTACAATTTCGAAAATAGTTATGAATATTTGATCCTTTGGTGGTAGATGAACATTCAATGACGTGTCTTTCTGACAAACGATCAATGTTTAATCATTTTCCTGAACAGAGTGATATGCAAAAAAAAAATCTCGCTCAATTTTTGCCACACTCAATATCTTTTTTAATACTAAATCCATGACTTCGCCCAACAGAAATTTTATTCTCCTTATTTCATGGGGTATTTTATAGTTTCCTTCAGAAAAAATGCCATAATTTTACGTTTAAGTGTAACAATAAAAATTATGTTGTTGATTTTATACAGTATATTCCCGAGAAAGATTACGACAAACTAGCTTAAACAATTCTTGAAATTATTAAGAACATAGACCATTTAGTTTTATCTAATTTAAAAGTGTGAGTGTAAGTGTGGCCATGCATGATCAGAAGACAAAGGCACCACATCCACTCACTTCCCACACCCATATCTCAGAAAGGAGGAAGAACAACTGTTTTCGTTCTCAAACGAGTTCAAGTTGTTTTAGTTTCATTTTCTTCTCCTTATTATAATCCTGAAATACTCCCTATCGAGCGCTCTTATCTCTGTCGTGCATGAAAAAGTGCATATCAAGGGTTGAAAAACAACATTTCTGAAAGGTTTCATTATTCTTATTCTCCAATTCTGTCAGCAATAGAATGTCCGTGCAATGAAAAATCATGTAAGTAACTGTCAGTGTGAATGTGATTATTTGTGTGCGTATGGGCGTAACAAAAGTGTGGGTCGTTGTTTCACATACATACTTGTTCTATATAAAGAAGAAGCATATTAAAATGCGGCATGACTTTTTCAAAGACTTCTCTTTGCAATATATTTCGGTAAACAACGAAAATAAACATTAATCAAAATTTAATTCTATCTATAGGTAGCTTTTGTCTTTATTAATATCTGGTATTCATTCACATCTCGCCTTTTATTTCAATACATCTCTGAATTTGTATAAATCTCATCACTGTAAATGAAAAAAAAAATGTGATTCAATAATTCGCATGTCCCTTTTATCAATAGACCAGAGCGCACGGAAAACGAATAAATTTGAGCTGTGGCATAGAATATAAAATATTCGATTGAAATTTGAATATGATTCGTTTCAACTAATGTCTTTTAATATGATTTTCTTCTCATATGTAATTCAAACTCGTTTCTTCAGCTTATCTAATAGTTAAATGTGTTTGATGAAACAGTTTTTTTTCTTATTGAACCCATGGGCTGCTTTGATTTACACACTATTTTGTTCTTTTGAACTTTTGCCTTTCAATTTCTGTCTTTTTTGTTTTGTTTTACTACGCAACAGTATTTGAATGAGTGATTATGCAAAAACTAAGCTACGTAGTTAGAAATACAATTCATTATTGCTTTCATAGTACTAAATTCATTCAATTCTGTTGTCTTCCATTGAAAGAGAAACGAATATTCCAACGTAACATTCAATTCATGAATAGATTGAATCTCTAGAAGGCTTCTTTCAACAAAAGAGAAAAATTTATTGATTAACCTTGAGAGTGCTGTCATTTACCTTCTAAATAACATAGAAAAAAAAAATTTTCTTTTATATTTGATCATGAACTGCAAAACATAAACAATTTTGTATATCTACTATTACTTCTTGTGGATGAAAAGCATATTGATTATCGACATGATACTAATAATTGTACTCCTCTATGTTGCCTTTGTTGAATCAACTCATTTCTATGGTGGAACAGTGACATGGAAACCGGTGGATAATACAGCTAATGGTTCAAAAATAGCCATTATGTTCACACAATCGTATCAATGGCGACGATCTTTCGGTTCTTCAACATACTGTAATCAATCCATTATAGTGAATCAATCACCAAAACTATCCAGTGGAAGTGGAACGCTTCAATGCACTACTACTCCTTCTAGTGCATGCGGCTCGTATTCTGCATTAGATATCGGTGAATATTGTACTGACTTCAGTACTGTTGTTGATTCAAGTTCGGGACAAATCTCAACTATTGAAAATATCACAGCTAGCTCAAGTTTTTGCGTAGCTTTTCAAGGCAATGCTTGGATTGGTCTACAATCATCGAATTGTGGTTCAACTGGAAGAAAGAAAAGAAGCTATACTAGCTCAAAATCGACAACAAAAAGAACCACAGTATCAACGACGACCATTACCGGCTGCTACAGTACAAGTGCTGCATGGTCTATAGGATGTTGTCTTGATTTGACACTTAGACCAGATGGGTTCATTAATACACCACCAGTTGCAACAATTATTTCACGTATGTGTATATTTAACTATAAATTTTCAAAGTATTTCACATTATATTTTTAGCTGACCTATTTTTTAAAAAGATCTAAGTTTTTTTATCGAGCACTAGAAACAATACATTTTACCAATTTAATCAAGTTATATTCCAGAGAACATACTCTATTCTTTGAAAGCATGATCTCTGCTCGATCCGATCTTTTCCATGAGAAGTAAAAATTAACACTGAATAGAAAGAATTTTTGTTTACAACATCCATTTTATTGTTTTCTTCTAAATGATGAATTAAGTATTATGCTTGCACATGAGAAATGTTTAGAGCATTGTTTAAAATAATAAACAATGCTTCATTTTTATTCAGGAATTACATTACACAGTGATCGACTCCGGTAGAGCATGAGGAAAATACTTATTTTTGGTCGAAATAGCATCTATTTTTAAAGAATTATTAGTTTCTAATATTCACAAAAAACGGATGTTAAACAAGTGAAGAAGATTCTTGCCCTAAATGGACAGGCCACATATAAGACCATCTTGAACCACTTGGACTGTTTTCTCAAAACCAATTCAGTTCTACACAACAAATTTTTTAGGGTGATACTCGGTCGAGAAAACGACTTTCTCGAACAATTTTTCAATGTTATAATTTGTGTGTCTTCGTTCATCCTAGTGCGGTAGAATTTAGGTTCATATTTCGATCATAACTTAAGCTTTCCGCAACTTATAGCTCTCATATTTTAAAACCACATAGAGATGTATGAAAAAGCCTTGTTTCAAAACCCTTTTTAGCAACGTGATAAGAGTATACTCAATTGTACGCATGTGACAATTTCTAACAATTAACAAAGAATTTTAACTTTATAACCACTAGAATAGGCGTAATGTAGCTTTTCTAAAATGCGATTTGAAAACTCATCAGTGGCTCTACAAAAACGCATCATTGCTATTTCCTCAACTATCTAACCCACTTTGTAAAAACCATGTATAAGGGGTTGACAGAAAAAACAGAAAAATAAACGCCGCAAAGGAAAATGTCTAAAAGAAAACGTAGAATTAAGCTAAATATCAAAACGAAAATACATGAGAAAAAGATGCACGACCAAAAATCTCGAAAAGGAAAATGTCGAATGGGAAAGATGTCTATCGATCAAGTAGTTTTACTTTAAGAACTGGTATTGGTTGGTACCAGAATAATTTAAATTCGTTGCCCTCGTCATGAGTCTGGATGTTAGGTGTGGAGGGTGGGGCGCGGATATGGATGAGAGTTTGGATGTGGGTTTGGTGCCGATATCTGCATGTATACGGCTGGGTTTTTCAGCAATGTACTACGCGCATCTACATCAAGGCCCACATCCAAATCTCCACACAAGTCAAGAGACATTAAACCACCGCAAAGCAGCTGTTTAATGGCTTAGCATGATCACACCAAAAGAAGGAGTTAAAACTTATAAACTTAGACTTTTTTTTGAGTTCTCTTGTATCATATGATCCAATTAATCTTTTCTTATCGTTAAGATGATTATAAATATTCAATTTTGTACATTAGACTTTGCAATGTTTTCCTATTCGATATTTGCTTTTTTAAAGTTTTCTGTCAAACTCAAATGTAACAAACTGTACATCATTCGTTGTAGGTTTGTGAGCTAATTGTGAATATGTCATTCGCTTTTCAAAAGAAGCTTTCTATCCAAAGAAACTTCAGTTTTACCTAAACAACAACGGGTTTTTGGAGAATCTTTATTTGAGTCCAGGGACATGTATTCTAATTTATGTTAATTGTGCTAATAGAAGGCATATAAGAAAATATCCTTAGAAACTGGGAATGATTTTCAAATTAGGATGCGAAGGAGTTTTCATTTCACAGATAAAGTCGATCGAAAAGAAAATCACTCACCAAAAAGACGCACTGAAATCTGCAGAAAACTATCACTGTTAATTGAACATTCTTTTATTAAATGATAGAAGATATCAAGTAAATTTTATATATATTGTTTTTGCGTGTCACATTAGTGAAATCTATTTAAAAACTTGAGCTTTATGTAAAAGATTCCTATTTTAAGACTAATTTTTTACGTTACAGAAGCTTCGTAACAAAGCCTTTTACAATATTAAATAGCACACAGTTTTAAGTACGTGTATCAATATTCGAATCTTACAAAAGTACAATTTCGATTTTTCGCCTATTGAACACTTGATCGCACACACTATGGTAGATAGAGAGGACATAATTGAAAACTTATTCGTAACGTGCATTTTGAATGAAAAAAAGTATCATGATATTTTAATATAACAAAACAATATTCTCAGAACAGAAGGAGAAAATCGTTACGCTGTGTCTTATTTATGAACCCAACTATTTTCGTTTGGAATTTAGGAGGGTAAAACTGCACAAAAATCTCGTTGACGTTGTATTTTCTAATATCTGTGCCGGAATACAATATTTTGACTTTTCAAAGAATAAAGATGATCAAAGCTCTTACATTATTATGTTGAAAATTGTGTTCAATTTCTGCTCATTGCTTTCATCGCTATGCTAATCAAAGAAAAAGAAGTTAGCTGTATTTGACAGCGGCTTTTGAGTCCACTTGTGGAGATTTTCCTTTCTGTTCGTTTCGTATATCTTAAATAGGGTCTAACTCAACAGATGATTCTCAAGTCAATAATCATTCTGTTTGATACTACAAATTTCACACTATAAAAAGAAAGCATCTAGTTGAATTCTTATTTCTAACCAATTATCAATTTTATAATAGAGATTCTTCCGAGAACATTTCTTTATATGGTATGAAAAAAGCAGAATAAATAGAAGAGAATAAGATTGAGAGTTAGAAAGGCTATGAAGCACAATGAACGTATAGGCAGAAATCAAACTAGATTATAGCCAGTAATTTGACGAATAGGAATAAGACAACGGGAAAGAACTTTAATGAAAAAAGAACAAATAAGGTCTAGATCTGAAGCGTAAAATCCAATAGCGATTTTGATAGTAATTGTGTAGTAAATGCATTGTGAAGAATTATCATTCGGTAGCGGATCGTCCAAAAAAAGAAAAAGAAAATGATCTCACTCAATATTCACTTGTTTTGTCATTTTATAGTATACTAATTAGAACATTTTTTCCATATACTAATGGATAATCAACACTATCATTGATTTTCAGACACGAATCTGTAAGAATAAATACTAGAAAATCATCAAGAATCTTATTTTCATTTATTATAATTGTCTGCTTTCTAAATCATCCTATTCATCATTCAATATTTCTTGTTTTTCTTTCTATCTAGCTATTCAAGTTCCAGTAAATACATTGACTAATATATCTATTCCAGTAATTGATGCTGATAATGACTATACAAGGTAGTTTTTCACTTTTTAAGAATTCTGTTGATAGCATAGTGATTTTATATATTAGTTGTCGATGGGCTCAAAAGACAGCTGGTTTTGATGAGTGTGGTGATGTTTGTCAAACAGCACCCGGCAGTGTACTAGATGGTGATAATTGTATGTTGACATTTAACAGTACAGGCAAAAGTGCAGGACAATACTATGCCGTGACATTAATGGTTGAAGATTTCTATGATCAATCAACATATACACCGTTTAGTAGTGTTCCTATTCAATTTCTAATTCACATTGTAAATGCCTCTGTTTGTCCACTGAAACCTACGATTAGTTCAACTCTGTCTGCATGTACGGCAATTCAAGTTGGTGATACATTTAGTTTTACATTGACAGTTGTTCAAGGATGTAGTGGAACTACTTTACAAGACTTCTTCACGATGCCTCCACTCAATATGATCAAAGGTAGCATAGTGCAAGTCGGAACGACTAACACATGGACAATCACTGAAACATGGACACCAACAGCATTACAAGTGGGATCTCAAGTCTACTGCGCTATGGCCACTGATAGGTAGCATACATGTTTGATTACAGAAACATTTTTGATACATTTTTTCATCTCATATCTAGTGCACAAATACAATCAGATCAATACTGTCTTACATTCACAGTTGTGACTGCTGGATCGCTTCCTTTATGTACAATTCTATCTTGATTCTTACTTTTATTTTTTTTTATTCTAATCATGGAATATGTTAATTTCAGGTCCGGGAGAAGCTCCACCAAACACGACTACAACGTAAATTATCATATTACGAGCCTTTGGCTTTTGACTTAGATTTCTTTTTTTGTTCAAAATCTAACGGACGTCTCTCTTTTTCAGGACAGCTACTACTGAAACGACCACCACCACTACTACTGACACAACTACGGCCACAACTACTACTGCCACAACGACGACAACATCAACGACTACTACTGCTACTATTAGGACAACAACAACTATCACTAGTACAACAGAGTACGTTTAGAAAAGTGTTCCCACTTGTTAAATATCTTTCATTGTTCACCAAGTACTGTATTTCTTAGATCAACGAGTGCTACGGAAGTTCCTGTAAAAACAAGTAAAAATTCATTAAATAAATGCTATGAAAGAAAATGAATTTTATCTTCTATAAAGGTGAATCAAACAATGCATGGATTATAGCCTTGTCGGTATTAGGATTTCTTGCTCTAGTGGGCTTATGTTGTTGCTGTTGGTGGTGGCTATTGTAAGTTCATTTCTATTCATGGTTGTTTATTAAAAAATCAAATGGAATACTATTTTGTCTCTTTAGTGTCACAGCTCGTCGTCACCGGGTTAATAAAGAAAGACAAAAAAAGTCAAGGAAATATTTATCGACGAATGACAAGAAACGACAAAGTTCAAACCCACTAGAATCTAGCTTTTCAGTCGAACGACGATTATCATCTATAGAGAAACAAACTTATCTCAAGAATAAAACATCAAGAAGGAGTCGTGCGATTGAGCCATTGGATACGGCAAACAGTGCATCAGCACGTGATCGATTAACAAGCATTAGCACGCTGGAGAGTGTGCCATATCTACACTCTATTTCTGACATACCGAAAGATGAAAGCTTTCAACAAAAACCTCGCTCAAATAGTATGGGTTCCGTATCTGTGACTCGTGTCCATCGAATTGACAAACCTTTGGCAAATGAGGAAAACACAAATATTAAATCTCCAAATCCTGATGATGATATTGAGTTAAGGAACGTTAGTACTGAAAAAATACCATCTGTAAGCGTAATCAAATTACCGAGAAGAAAGTCAATAGGATCACACAGTAATATTATAGAAGTACCAAAATCAGTTGTTTCGTTTAGGCAAAATGCACAGATAACAGATGAATTACCTCAACAGCCGCAATCAGCTGGTTCAGTTATTGTTAGCAAAGTGAAACGATCAAGTTTCCCCAACGGGAATAACATACCATCATACGCGGTGAATGATGGTCTATCGTCAGCAAAGGATAGACAAACTACAGTAGTGAGTATGATTAGATTACCTCACTCAAACTTGCCATCTTATACGCCTAATGAAAGTGTTGGATCATCGAAATCAATAAACGTTCAACAGAATTTTTTGCATATCGGCAATCAAGAACAGCAAGTCAAAGTCCATATATTAAGCAATCTTGCAAAAATTTTGCCTGTTAATGTTAATAGATTGCCTCGTGCAAAATCATTCACAAATACCTTAACTTCAATTCATGAATCATAAAACAAACACTGCTGTAACTTTTTAGAGTAACTCGATTAGCTCCCAAAATCAATGTAAATAGCATCATCTTATTTTTCTAGTTTTTCGACTAATAAAACATATCTATTCAAAACGCGCTGATATTGTCGTAACCTCACGCCAACATCCACAAAAAATTTAAAGCGAAGTGCATAGTAGAGAAATGATATATGGAAACATTTGATCGAAGTCAAAAAATGAGTTTTCTATTCAATGATCAAAATAAACGGTCTATGAATTCAAACGTTTCAATCGAATCTCTATTACTCCCTCCTGAACGTCTAAATAGATATAATTATTACATTTGAAATCGCCATAAGAATGAGCGTCTTCACATCTTTTAGACAAGCCATAGGCACAGCTAGTTTGTTCTTAGAAAATGCAATCTTGACTTATACAGTATCATGAACATTTTCGGTAACTTTCTTCTCGAAAAACTCGTTGATTCGCATCATACCATGTTGTGAATATTAGTTATGTAATCTGCAGCGTACTCCACGAAACTGACTACATCGATGAGTATTCAAACAGCATGTGCATGTCTAGTCATGATAAACTCCATGTTCTTGAAACATCAGACGAATTCATGACAGTTCATTCTTATGAATTTCTATAATTTTGCGTGTATAGGTTAATTGCAGAATGTTAATCATACTCATGCAGATAGATTTTGATCATGTTTCAGAAATAAGCAGTTCGGAACACAATGTTGAGATTGGTTCACTTTACAATGAAGTCTCAAAAAAACATCAAATACCATGACGATTACAAATAGTCTATGCCCAAAGTATCAATGCTTTGTTAATTGTATCATGAAGTCTGAATCAGTTAGGAACAAACCTTTAAACTGTATTATACATGAAGTTTGATGTTAGTTATAATATCTTTCAAAACGATAGAGTGTTTGAAAAAAAGCTTTCTCTTCAATAGAAAACGTCTTCAAGGAATCAAGTGTGGCTATGCAAATAATTGATATAAATATATCCAAAGGCTATTGGGAGCCAAACCCTCTTCGTATCGCTCTTGATTTCCGAGGACTACCATGGAAGCAGTACATCTCAAATGGCAATCAAGTGATGAGAAGAAATATTTGACATGTAGGTGCACACAAATCGATTTTTTATAAGACTGCATAGTCTTTTTAGTATTGAACCATGTGTCGTATGATTCAGAGTCTTATAGGTAAATCTCTGAGATGAACATTTATGCAGAATCGAGTGAGGACATTGAGCTGGTAGTAACAGAACGACAATACTATATTCTACCAAAAAGGCTATTGGTTCCTTTTCGAGTTCTAATTACAATATCTATGGCTGTAGCTGGAACTTTATGCTGACTTGTAAAAGAGCCGTCTCCTTTTTCTTCTTTCTCACTATGATTACAATCTTGGGTGCCCTATTGCAGAATGGTCGAATTGATCGACTCTAATGCGTAAATACTAACAAGTTATTGATATCTATTGCTTTTTCCATGTGTCTCCATCATTACTCATGATTGACCGCTATCAACATCGATGGCAGTTACACGAGAAGGAAAAAAACAAAAATCACGCAACTGACTGCTGACATGTGGAGAAGAAACTCATCTAGATCACAAACGATTCTTGTTATTTCTAACAAGAGTTTCAGTCACTTTGAGTTATATTGTGAGTAATTTTCTTCTAAATCAGCTATCGACCACTTTTGGTTATCAGGAAAAACTTGAACCTTTGTGAGATCTTTCATTTGTCCAAAATAGAGTGTGGATATGTGAGAATACGAGTCGGGCAGAAAAGCATACCCAGTGAAAAATATCCATGAGAAAATCAAGGTTATTTTTCATTGTTGGTGTCGAAATCCTACTGTTTTTCATGGACCATCCACTTTTCGCAGAAAATCCGATCGAAATTGATTAAAATCAATAAATCAGATGAAAAAATAATCTACTTAACGGATTCTTCTTGATTACATCGTCTCTAACCAAATTTTCATCGACAGTCAATTTTAATCTTTTTAATCGATTAAAATCTATATCGATGAAAATCGAATTCACGGATTTTTCATTGATTCGTTACGATTGCCTCAATTTCAATATGACTTTCATAAGTAATCAATTTTTATGTTTTAAATCGATTGAAATTTGAATCAATGGAAATCCAATTGACAGATTCTTATTGATTAATTACTATTATCTCAATTGCAATCCAATTGTCATCGATAATAGATTTTAATTTGTTCAATCGATTTACAAGGTGTTGCAAAATATCAGTAAGTTCTATACAAAACCACATGATTTGGACTAATACGAGGCATATTGAAACCGATTATCTTCGTAAATAGGAAGCACACATAAGATGAGTAAACCTGTGAAGATACGAATTACAAAAAATATTTTATATAGACAGAAGTATTACACAGAAAAAGGTAAAAATAAGCATGCAGTTGATTAAAATTGATTGATATATTTTTATTAATTTAAATCCATTTTTTAATTTCTAATAGATTTTAAACGATTTCTGATGTAATTGCGCTAGCTCTATTTGAAATAATTTATCTAGTAGTTCCAAATTTACTACGTTTGCTGGAGTTTAGTTTAGTGACAACTTCATAGTTTGTGAACACGATCATTTCAGAAAACTCATGAAAAATTCGGATCTCGAGAAAAGTGTACATCATCAGTGTGTATGATTAAAATCGACTACGAAGTAATAATCGATTAAAGTTGAGTAACAAGTAACAAGCCAGCAAAAACTTCGAGCGATTAAAATCGATTAAAACTTCAAAATCTTTTGGGAATAATCGAAATCGATAATCAAATTTTTGTGAAACAAAATCAAGATTTTAATCTATTAATATCAAAATTATAATCACTACCAATCGATTATTAGATCCTTCTAATTAATTGATACCGAATATAATTTTGATTTTAATGAACTAAAATTTTGATGTTGTTTCACAAAAGTCGGATTGTCAATTCCAATTAGGCCCATAGGATTTTGAAGTTTTTATCGAATTTGATGCTTGAAATTTTTTACTGGGTACTTAGACTAATATTCGTACGATCACGCGAAGAGAATTTTCTTCAAATGTTTTCTTCTTATAAAAACCAACAATGTTTGTCGATCACTGAGCAAGAAAAAAATCAAGGCTTCATTCTTTCATCATTAAATGTTTCGCCGATGAAGAGTCAGGCTCATATGACAGTTTTATTGAACCAAATACACGAAGGAGAAAACCACATGAAACTAGTTTCGTCATGTAAGTATTTTCGTGTGAGCTATACCATTGAGATTCCTATCAATTGTTAGCAGCAGGACTTCGGATGATTATCAGTTAGGAAATGTCTTTATTGATTTGAACGAAATTTGTTTAGATGATTGCTAATCAATAACTACCTCACACTGCTTCTGGTAGAACATGAGATATGGCGTCAGTGCGACTGCAAGATGTCTCTTCACTGCTGATACTGTCGGTCGAAATTCTTCATCGAATTGTCGATTTAGTGAGCGTGCGTACGTTTCCCACGTCATCTCGTACATCGATCCATACTTGATTTTTGATGGATAATATCGTTTATTCTGGTAAAACTGAATTCTTGACAAAGTTCTTCGAACATGATGTGGTATCGGATCGGTAAATTTCCGTGCCTTTTTACTTGTTCATTGCATTATCTAACGCTTTCGAACGTTACATAAAAGCAATATAATATTTTTCTTGGTGCTCCACTCATCTAGAAATATTCTACGTTCAGTTATTCTTTTCTTCAAACAATGCACTATCGAATTTCTCTTGTGCTTGTATACTTCTTCTGTCGTAATAGATAAAAATTAAAATTAAAAAGAATCATGATGCGATAAGCGTATTGATGTATTTCTTTTGTTGAGGCAAACATGGGTGAAGAGGTCTAATGTACACGACATGCACGTATCTCTTACACTACTTCTTTCTATTGATTCTCTTACAAAGGTCATTATTGCGATCAAATTTAAGAGCGAAGAAAGAGAAAGTGAAAGGAGAATATAATCAGAGAAATTACTTCTCTCTAGCTGCCTTGCCCATATTTAGATCTTATTTGTAAAAGTTAATACTAAAATGTACTCTCGTAACGTTTACTGTATGCTATCGTTGTTATTGATTTCAATTTCTACAATGATTGAAGGATCCACCATTGATTTATATTCTCAAACTATTATCACAGCTGGTCCAACTTACGGTTCGTACAAGTTCAATGTTCTACAACATCTATCTGCTATTTCTCCTTACTTTGAATCCAATTCCAATGGACTCAGTCCTGATCCTCCTCAAGACTGCAGAGTCAACAAAGCAATCTACCTAGTGCGCCATGGTTCTATTTACGCTAACACCTACGATTACAACTATACCATTCATCCATTCTTGCAACGCCTTAAACATTGGTCGCGTGAAGTCAATTTTTCTCAGTCAATGGAGTTCGCCTTTTTGGCTCGCTGGACATCGCCCATCACACACTGTACTAAACAAGTCGGAAAATTGACCAAATCCGGAAGTCTCGAAGCATTCAATCTCGGTACTCAGCTCGCCTATCGTTATCCACATTTACTATACGCAAAGAGACATTCATCTTTCAAAATATGGGCTTCGAAATCGGATCGAACACAGAAAAGTGCTCGCATGTTGTTAACTGGACTATATGGTAGTCAGAACACTCTAGGTCAGGTAATCAATATATCAGAAGGAAAGAAACGAGGCGCAAATACTCTTACACCGAAAGAAACATGTCCACGCTTCCAGAATTCATGGGGTGCACCAGAAGCACATGCGTGGCTGAGAAAATACACAAAACCAATAGTCGTTCGATTAAATGTTCGTAATCCAGGCTTTAACTTATCGGCAAATGATGTGTTGGCAATGCAGCAACTTTGTGGTTATGAAACTGCCATTCGTGGATCATCAGCTTTTTGCAAGATCTTTACACCAGAAGAATGGCTTTCGTTTGAGTATTATTTCGATATCAAATACTACTATGAATTAAGCTACGGCAATGATCTGTCACCAAGCCTCGGTATGCCTTGGGTTGTTGCATCAAGTGATCTTCTCAATCGTACTACGGACCAAGACCTTTATATAAGTGTTGCTCATCGAGAGATGCCACCTTTTATCTTGACAGCATTGGGTTTGTACAACGATACAAATACTGCTGGTGTTCACATCATTAACCATACGTTTCCTCTTGATCAGATAAATTATCGTCGCATATGGAAGTCAAGCGAATTCATTCCATTTTTGGGTCGTGTTGCATTGGAACGACTAGATTGCACATCTACTGTATACAATGGATCGTTTGTCAGGATTCTGATCAATTCGGCACCAAAGCCCTTGCCCGGATGTACGTCAGGTCCAGGTGCCAGCTGTCCGTTGGAACAATACATGAATTATGTTGAGAAACGCAATGAGCAGCATAGTGCCTTTTCGAAGGCTTGCGATGTACACTATCAGAGCACTACTGATATGTTGACCATTTACTCTTAAATAAATCCGTATGTTCAGTACATGCATAATATGCTTGCTAGAAATAAAGATAAGAATTGACTCGTTTGGTGATTGGTATAAATGGCATTGCAAGAGGACGATAGTTTGCTTTGTTGTTAAACAACACTTGGAATTTGACCACATTGACATATTCTCATGTCGAAGCAACAGTATTCATGACTACGTACTCTTTTAGGTCTTTGAAAGTAATCTTATCAACGATTAAACACTTGGTGAGAACTTGTATTCATTTCTTCTTACGAGGAAAGGCCACCAACTGTCTCCTCGCTTTTGAACTGAAACTCAGTTGACAATAGGTAATCGAACGTGTTGATTCCGAATACCATAATGGTTTTTGCCCGCTTTCGATTTAAAGACCCATTTTTTAAGGATCTTGGTTTTTCAATCGAAAAACCATTTTCACTAAAAAATTGTCTTGACTTGTCCAAATGAAAGAGCACATCGTCAAACCTACAGAAAACAATTTTTGAAGGTTCTAAGCGAGGTTTTGAGTGAGTTTTCTGCGTCTAAAACTTGAAAAAAGAAGGAAAACCGCTAATATTCTTACACAATTTATGAAAGAAAAACTAGTTTTTCTTTCTGTTTTGTTTTTTTATTTATCAAAGGCATTCAAAGAGGAAGGCTGCATGCATGTGTTAGCCATGATATACATCATGATACATTTCAATTTCACAAGAATATAGTAAAAATGAAAAATTGAGCACAGATAGCAGCTATAGAAAAATTTTCAAAGCATGTGAGATGCATAGTTCAGTGCAAAGAACAGAGAACGGAAGAAAAATATTTATAAGAGCAGCAGTCTATAAAAATATATGTAATTTTAGCACTCTTATCGGAGTGTCAGAGTTATATAACGTTTGACACCAAGAAAGAAAAATAGTAGTTTTTCTTTCATAAATTGTGTAAGAATATTAGCGGTTTTTCCCTCTTTTTTTAAGTTTTAGACGCAGAAAACTCACTGAAAACCTCGCTTAGAACCTTCAAAAATTGTTTTCTGTAGGTTTGACGATGTGCTCTTTCATTTGGACAAGTCAAGACAATTTTTTAGTGAAAATGGTTTTTCGATTGAAAAACCAAGATCTTTAAAAAATGGGTCTTTAAATCGAAAGCGGGCAAAAACCATTGTGGTATTCGGAATCAACACGTTCGATTACCTATTGTCAACTGGGTTTCAGTTCAAAAGCGAGGAGACAGTTGGTGGCCTTTCCTCGTAAGAACAGGTAGAGTAGAGTTAGTGATTAAGGTACCGTAACAATTTACAGTATGTTCTATATACAGCTTACAGTCCGATAAAAGTCGAATGCTGCTACTGTTTATACTTTTTTCTGATATTTCAATCTGATCGATTATTGGTCTCTATTTTTCTTGCTTTTGACACGTGTAAGGTTTCTCTTTATTCTGGTTATGATGTTGTACTAAACTATTGCTACTGACGATAAAAATCATCTTGTAGTGGCACTTTTTCTGTACATTTTAATTATTGAAGAGAAATTAAAATCTGATTGTGCCTCAACGGCTTCTATATTCTTTAGACAATATCGAAATTATTCAAACATTAGTAATCATTTAATCTGAACGTCGGTTTTCTTGGAAGCCATGCCCTAAATTTCGTTCAAGTTGAGAAATGACTTTTGTTTCGTAGCTATAGACAATTAAAAACAAAGCAAACAGATTTGTAAGATGATTTGTTACTGATTGAGATGGTATCGCTTTGACTGCTGCATTTCATAAAGACAATAAAATCAGTCTTGAGTTAGTATAATCTTTTACATCATTTCTGGACACTAGAAATTCAGAAAAATTGCTTTGAGAATTTATAAAGATATAGTAAGAATTTATTTTCGTTGAGAAAAAGAAGACAAAACAAGTTTGTAAAAAAATTCTTGCTCTCAGTCAAATGATGTACAACTCAGCCTAAAACTAGAATGAGTATATTTTTTCGAACAGACTACGTCTGATCTATTTTTTTCCACTCCCATAACTAAATTTGTGATCCTTTTTATGATTATGAAATATTTTGTTGTGTTTTATGTGTTAATTTTAGTCATTACAATCACGTTACTTATTTTATATACGTAAATAGTCGATACTAAATACAATATACTATTGCGTAAACATAATTTTAAGACAGCTATGGTTGAATTGTGCCCTAAAATTCAAATGGTTGAAGGTATTGCAATGCATGCAGCTTGTGATGTTGAGACTTTTCGTTCAGCATTTAATTACAAAGCACGATCCGATGATATCTTTCTTGTTGTCTATCCAAAATCTGGCACGACATGGATGCAAGTTATTCTGTACGCATTAATGAACGATGGTGAAGCATTCGACAATAATATGGCAGAATATTTTGCTCGTACACCTTTTCTCGAATTAGTTGGTGAAAAAGGCATGAAAAACATGCATAGACCATGCGTTATTAAAAGTCATTTACCTTTCCATTGTGTTCCTTATCATGAGAATGCCAAATATATATGTGTAGTACGCAATCCAAAAGATGTATGCGTTTCTTATTATTATTTTCTCTTGAAACTCATGGATATTCAGCAGGAGCAAACATCATTCGATAACTTTTTCGAAGCTTTTATCAATGGAAATGTTTATTTTGGTAATTACTTTGAACATCTACGTTCCGTTTGGCAACATAAAAACGATACTAATGTATTTCTTACGTCATATGAGGAAATGACACGTGACTTACCTAGTGTCATTCGTAAAGTTGCTCAATTCATGAATATTGAACTCAATGATAAATTACTTGAGCATATTGCTACTTATTCATCATTTAGTTATATGAAAGAACGGTTTCACAAGGCATACTCAGCTCAAGCACGTGTTGCACTGGCAGATGAAGCACTTGATGCACCCTGGCCTATTGATAAAACAAACTTGCAAAGGTGTGATCATTGTATAATTGTGCGAGAAGGTTTTACCGGTAATTGGTCTTCAACCATGAGTGATGAACAATCGAAACGTCTTGATAAAATCTTTGTTGAGAAGACGGCAGACATGCCTGGAGTGGATAAGCTTTTTCTACCATGATGTGTGTACATGCATGATTCATTTTGTTTTTCGAATGATTTTCATGAAATAAATAATTGGTCTAATGTGATAAATGTAATACCGATGAATCCTAAGTAGAAGTACGATTTTGCATCACCATCGACCAGTAGCAAGTAGAATCGGGTGTGGGTGTGGGTGTGGGTGTGGGTGTGTGGGTGGGTGTGGGTGAGGGAGTGGTTGTGACTATGAGTTTACATCAATCTAACACACCCATCCACACCCACACCCACACCCACACACCCACACCCACACCCACGCCCACACACCCACACTCACCCACACCCACACCCTTTAAGTATCTGTAATGGTCTGGGTGTGCGTGTGTTCATATAGTACTAACTCTATACCCACACCCATACCGTAAAGGTCACTTCGAATCTGCTCAGAAACTAACAATCCATTTAAATGAGCCTTAAATACTTAGTTAACATTATGTAATCGGTTCTTATACCCTATAGAATCTGACACATATACCGAAATATCGTTTAATTAAGCTTTATCAACGATGGTATTTCGAAAAATTGCCATAAACGAAGTATTTTTTCCTCTATCTTCATTTCCATCGAACAAAAAACAAAGATAGTCGGTTAGGTGTATATATAGGCGATTAACAATACAAGATCGTCTGAAAAAAAAGCATCAGTTGGACTAGTCAGTTTATTCACTGCCCCAGTCAGAGTTCATCTCAGTTCAGATATAAATTCCCATGTTAAACATTTCTCGCATAGCACTGGCTCTCTTCCTTGTTGATTTATGTAAGTAAACATTTGCTATTTAAAAGAAAGACTAGGCTTTCATAATAATTAGGATATAAACAATATTTAACATTCTCACCTTTGGAATAAGCAGGATTTTTTAAGAATTAACATCAAATTATAGAGATAATGAATTTTGAAATTTTGATTTTCTTTTTATTAAAATGAAATTTTTGCAGAGGAACATAAAACATTAGAAAGTAACTATCGAGTAATAAAACTATGATATTGTTACTTTCTCTTATTCCTAGATTAAAAGTTATGGACAAAAATATGTCTACGAATGATAATCAAACTCAAAATTTAGAAATATTAAAATTACAACTACGAATTGAGCGGGAAAAAACCAAACAAATACAAATGCAAGAAAAAGAAGCAACCAAACGAAAAAGACTCGAAGAAAAACAAGCGACCAAACGAATAAAACTCAAAGAAAAAGAAGAAACCAAACGAAATAAAATACATGACGAAGAATATACCAAACAGTTGTGCCCAGATCTCGTACTAGCATTATCAAAGGCTAAAAATTCGGCACCATTGTCAAATTTTATGTCAAAAAACGAAAGCACAGCTTGTTCATCTTCTTCTTCATCTGATTCTTCCGATGATTCGGACGAGTGTTAGTAATGTATGAATTTTCACACACAATTTGCTGGTGAAAATGTAAACTTTACATAATCACATATATTTACTTATTGATTTACTCATTTTTTTTAATTTCTTGCTATATGTTTGTTCTTCTTCATCATTAAATACTTGTTATTTTGTTTCTTTATCCTAGTACTCTCTCTCTCTGGGTGTGGATGTAAGAGTGTAAAACGATCTAATATCATCTACAGCTACACCCAAACCCTAAATTTACTTGAATTTGCGTCTATCTTATCTTATCTATTTTGATGATACTAACTAAACAAAACAAACTGTATATTGTCAATAGTCTCTTGAAATAAAAATCACAGTTGAAATGTTACTAAAAAAAAACTTTACTGATCATTTTAATAATTTATATTTCATCAATAGATGAATAACACATATTCATCTTCCTGAATGACTATGATTGCTCTCTTTTTCCTTCTGTTGCACGAATTTGAATGTTTGTGGTGTTTATCTGATGCAAAATAGGTTAACCATTGTTAAACAGACGAAATAACAACGCAACTAAAGGTCATTCGTTCATTATGAATCTATACAAGTTTGTGTTTTTTTTGTTTTATTTTTTAATCAAATGACTGAGTTCTACTAGTGTCGTGGTAGAAGATAATCTGGAGCAATTTGAATATTCGTGTTACAATGTTATGATTATCTGGTTGTATGTACACTGTCTATCTATTCGTTATATTAATACCGATTACATTGATGATTCTTCTTTTGTATCCATATGTAATGGAAATGTGACTGTCATGTCGTCATTATTTTTTCGGTTACGATCAAGTTGATGAAAAAGCAGAACTGGATATAGAGGAGACAAAAAAATTAGTCTTATTTATAAATTTATTACAATTTTCATGAGAGAAATTGTATTGGCATTTATTTACATTATTGCTGCTCTAATTTTGACATAGACGTTAAATATTGCTCCATTATCAATCTTTATAATATAGTATTTATATTGTGTATATAATTCTGGTCGACATATATATGATTATAAGCCTACATGTTACACTCAATTTACAAATATAGTGAAGTTGGTTATATTCGTACTTGTACGTTGTATGGAAATATATCCATCTTCGAGACTACATAGATAAAAATGATTTTCTACAATCCTTCTTAAATGCCAATAAAACTTCAATCGTATAATGACTTATTTGTTATATATATATATATAATATATATCATTGACTATTTGTTGTATGATACCCTTACTTTTGTTACATTAATTTCTTCGTTTTAATGAATATAAAATAATTTCAATATTCTATGAAATTTCTTTCTCGAAAAAAAAGAGAAGCATAGAAATTGTGATATACATTGATTTATAAAGGACTTGATTTGAAGTTTCTATGACTGAAAAATCAATGATGAAGGTTCTAGCTTTATGATATTTCATTCGTATGCTTCTAATCTTTTAGTAAAAGTAACATTGTTTTGTGAAAGACTCACGACGTATATTTCAAGTAATAATTAACATCAAACTAATATAATATCATCATTTATTTAACATAAATGATAAATGTAAGTAGAATTTTATATAGTGAAAATTATTCTATTTTTTCATCGACTATTCAATTAAGTTCATTTGACATTTAACAAAACAAACAAGCATATATTGACAATAGAAAAAATATAAAGATTGATTTAAACATGTTCAAAGTTTTATTTTATATCTATTGAAAGAACATTGAAATTTATGATTTATGCTTTTGTTTAAACACTCTTTTAGTAACATCTATCATTCATTATCATGAAACATTTTCTATATTTCTAATAACGAATTGTTGCCAATAGCATAGTATCAAACTGCAATAAAAGTTATCTAGAATTCATTTCTCGATGTAAGTATCACTACACAAGAGCATCTTTTTTAAAATAAACATTTGAATTCACATTAGCGAGCACATCCTATAATGAATGAAAGCAGCGTTAGATGAAATAGTATCTCTCGCATACATCGGAAGTTTTCTATTCAATAATATAACAAAGAGGTAATTAGAAAAAACTAAAGACAAATTATTTCTATGTTATGTTCATTTAAACAAATTTTTTACTGAGTTCTTTAATTTTATCATTTACATAAATAAAGAATAGAAGTTACTTTTTGATCAAGATGAGTGTTAGCATGAAGATGTGGATAGAGATATCTACTCTTCAACTATTCATATCTACATACCTTGCAATACTCAGGTATCATCTACATTTACACCATCTTTGCACTGATTGATATCGTTATATGCACGCTAATAGAGAGAAAACTGCATCTACAAGAATATCTAATCTTTTTGTTTATAGAACGATACAGATGCAGCAGTGCCTAATAATACGACAGATACTGTCATTAAGTTAGTTCCATCAACGAAAAGCTCATATGACAAGCATTCTAGAAAATGTATTTTAATCGAAGGTCTCGTATTTTTCGATGTCCATCATTGAAATGAACACTTGAGGGTGGGTGTGGGTATCATTTCCTCTTTACTCACACCCCACACCCACCCACATTGCAACAATTTCATGTAAAGCTGAATAACGATTAGAATAGTTCGTATATTGATATATCCGCTGCAAAGCTTTCACTTCGAATGGAAGCCTTGCACACATTTACTTTTGTGAAGTCGTTCAAATGGCACTATAGAGAAGAATGGACATTTGTATATATTTTGACTTCTTTTAGTGTTATGCCTATTTTACAA